CACAAACTCTTCTGGTGGTGGGAAAAAGGGCTCCTCTTTCTGACCAAAGTTTAATTCTATGACACAATTCTTACAGAGGACATGGGGTAGAAGGGCTCGATCTGCCAGAGATTCCTTGCTGATCCGGAATGCCACACCCAGGTCTTCTCCATTCTTAGAGAAGGAAAGCTCTACTTCTTCAGTCTCAAAATTCTACAAGGACAAAGGCACAAGAGCACTTACAGGTTGACAGGTTTTAAGGAAAATGAAGTCTTATAGCTTACTTTTTTCTTTGGAAGATGGAGAGCTGTGTTAGTGGGTAAAGGCACATGATGATAAGACTTTAGTCCCTAGAACTCACATGGTAGGACAAGCTGTTTTCTGACTTTCACATACACTTTGATATGCTCCCCCAATCCATGTGGAAATAAGCAAATAAGTGAGTACTGGGGCTACTGCACAACTCAATAGCCAAGCAATGATAGAAGTATAGCTGAATCCTCTCAGCTTTTATCTACCCTTTGCTACAAATCCACATTTTTCAAGCATACTCACAGCAAAACAGCCAATGACATCATTCTCCCCAAATGTCTGGCCAAATTCCTCAAACTGTCCATTCTCTGCCTTGAGTCCTCTTCCATCAAAACCATAAGAGAACTCATCTTCACCTAGGATAGACAACAATCAATTATCTATCTACAAAGTTTCCACAGAGTCAGCAATATGTTAAACACAAGCAAGAAGCTAAAAAATAACCTTACCAAGCTGTGGACAGGAAAAATCAACAGACCACCCAACTCTAAGGAGAGAAACTTCTGTGCAGCCTTCTTTCATTGGGAGATTCTGTGTTACCTGGTCAAGTCAGAAAAGGAAGTCTCAGGTACTTTGACCAATGCAGGTACAAAGTCTGAGTTACAAAGATAAGATTTGTATACAAACTGGGGGGAAAAAAATCACAGTTCAATATTAGAAAAACAACTTTCACTAAACCTGAACCAAAGACCAAAAAGTAGGCCTGGGGATGTAGCTCAGAAATAAAGTGACTAATATGAGTTCAATCCCCAGCATATAAAACAAACAACAAAACAAAGTCATAAGGGTCAATTTGTTGCTCAGAGTTAAGGGTATGTTAAGTAGGGTACCTTTTCTGAACTAACAAAATACTGGCCAGGAGTCCAATACACAGTTTAAATTAATAACTGATTTTAGCTGGGCGTTGGTGGCGCACGCCTTTGACCCCAGCACTCGGGAGGCAGAGGCAGGCAGATCTCTGTGAGTTCGAGGCCAGCCTGGTCTACAAAGTGAGTTCCAGGACAGCCTCCAAAGCTACAGAGAAACCCTGTCTCAAAAAACCAAAAAAAACAAAACAAAAAACAAACAAACAAAAAAAAAACTGATTTTAAAGAGTCCCTTACCTTGGCCTCAAAGCATACTTTTCCCTTTGTTACTCCATAAGTACTTCTTGCCCCAGACCAAAGTGTAGGAAACTTTTCTGAGAAAAGTGGCTGCCCTCCATATCGGTCTTTGCTTATTTGGAAATGGAGATCCGAGGTATCTGTTAAGAAAGAAGGCTGTGACTAGTTTACTGCAACGCTCAACACATGCCCAGTTATGATGAGTGGACACAAACTGTCCAAACACTCAAGCCATTAAGTTTACTCTCAAAAGTCATCTTTAGATCACTCCAGAGACTAAGGTAGGAGGATCACAAGTTGGAAGATGGTCTGGAATATATAGCAAGGCCCTATTCTCAAAAAACAAATCATTTGCTTTATACATACACGTGTCCAGGTTCACAAGCGTCTGATCCTCCTCTTCTTCTTTTGCTTCCTCTTCTGGTGGTGGTGGGGACTTTGAGCTACAGGTAAGGAGAGGAGAGCAAATACAATATAACCAAAACTACTTTCTGTGAGGTAATTCGTGCGGCACTGCCCATTTTAAAGTATCAGTGAATTATCAAATTCCAGCAGACAGCTTCTTTCATTCAATGAAAAAAGGAAATAGGAGTTTCCATCACAGATTTATTTACTCTAAAACTTATGCCTACAAAGACCTATTCCATTTTTCAATCCACCCCTCCTTCCAGACTGTCCAATCAACACCAGGAATACCAAAAGCAGAGCAGACATTCCCATCAAGGGAGTGTTTCCCTCACCGGCTGTGGTAAGCCTCCTCTCGGAATTCATAGTAAGCTCGGCCATGTTCATCCTTCTCATCCCGCTGTCTCTTTACCCCCCGCCGCTCACCATCTGAGCCTGCTGGTTTTGACTTTTCACTATCCTGGTCATCTCCTACAAAAAGGAGGGAAAGAAAATCAGCAGTTTTTATACTGGAGCGTAGAATAAGCTCAGAACTAAGAGAATCTGAATTAACAATATGGGAAACTGAGGGTATCTGATTCAAAGTGTTCCCATTATATCCATATAATGTTTTATTTCCAATTAGCTTTTCATTGGTTAAGGTGAGGGGCACTGTAAGCTAAATACAGTTAAGAAATAGAAAAAGTTGGGCAATTTTTCCATTCTAAATTTATCTACTTCATTCAAGCCAACAGGGCAGATCTCCCCACTAATAGGAAAGGAAAATAACCCTTAAGTTGTTTGAAAACTTTCGCAGGTGAATTTCAATTCTCATCAGATTTGGATTTATGGCAAGTACTTAATGACTATTTTCTAATGCCTTTCAACAGCTACATGGTACAGAAGCCTTACATTTTCTTTAAGAGACTACTTTTTTTTGCATTAAAACGCAAAGCCACACAATGGCAGCTGTATTTTTAACAGGTATTTAAATTGAAAGCTACCAGTGCAAATAAATCAGCAAGTCACAAGTGAACCATAAATAACACCACAGCTTCACTGCATGGGATTTGGGGCAGGTGGTGGTGGATATTTAGCAACATTCTTTTTTTGTTTTTTGTTTCTCTAGACAGGGTCTCACTATGTAGCTCTGGCTGTCCTAGAACTCATAGTGTAGACCAGGATGGCCTCAACTCAGAGATCTGCCTGCTTCTGCTTCCCACTGAGACTGAATGCATGTGACACTGAGCCAGACAGCAACATTCTTTTCAAGGAGTAACACATAGTTTCTTCCCCCCCTAGGGTTTTGTTTTGAAGGTTTAAAAGTCTTGACAATTCCTCTAAAGTACTCTCTTATCTGTCAATGCTTTTTATCTGCTTTTTAGGATACACACAAGTCAAAGATTATGTAATAGGAATTTTGTTCCAGGACATAAGACACAACCCCCAAACACTATACTTTGCATTCAATCATTGTAAAATAGATTCCAACTACATGACACTAACAGCCTAAAAAAGAAAACAGGTAAAAAAAACAAATAAAAATCTTAAGGCAATCCACTTGGAAGTAAGACTTGGAAGCAGCTCTCCTTCCCCTGATAGTCAAACAGTATGGATTAACTCTAACCAGTTAAGCATTTCAAAACAAAGGAGAAAGGTCATTAACTCCTGGGGGAAGTCTCTGCACATTTTCTACCACAAGGTTACTCAACTGACCCACTAGAACCCCCTCAATCATTTCAGCTCAGGAAGTTAAGAGCCTTAAAGGCACCAGTGTAGAGTCTAAACATACACTCATTTACTGACTTGGAAGGAGAATTAAGATAAAAACACAACAGGGACAAGGTAAAAAGCCCCATTCAAGCAACTAACATGTACTAAAACTTACTAAGACTTTTCTTTGCTAGTTAATGATTAAACCCAACAGGCTCACACTAGACAGTCTTACTACCGCCAAGCAGGAATGCTAGGTTAGCTCTCCAGAGTCTATGGAAGGCTTATGCTCTAACGGGAGTTTGACAGAGCAACATATCACAGACTGTTCATTGCTTAACATTTTCACTCTAAGAAATTAACTGTCAGGTAAGTTGAAGTTCTAAGTGGTACCTGCAGACCGCCAATTTCTCACTATATTTTCTGCTAAAGGCATTCAGCTAAAGAGGGAGCACCAGGAGACTGATCCACAGGTAGCTCGAAAGTACACACACACACACGCGCGCGCGCGCGCGCACACACACACACACACACACAGACACACGCGCGCGCGTGCGCAAGCACACTATACCATACACTTCCATCCACTAACACCAAGGAACCACATTAGGCAGAAACCGCCCTCCTGCAGACAGTAGAGCAACAAGGCACCCAAACCCTCAAAAGGATGGGCAGTGGATGAAAACCACGTTCCCCGGGGAATCCCATCGAACAGCCACGGAAACCGTGCACTTTCCGGCCAGTGGAAACTAGGAATCAGATCGCGCGGTGCAGGGTGGGGTGCTGGATCAGACACGCACCAGGCTGGCCGGAGCCTGGCTCTGCTGCAAGTTCCTCACCTTGATCTTCTGTGGCCTTGTCACCCGGTGCCTCGGATCCCGGCGTCTCATCCCCGCTTCGTTCCTCCGGCCCGTCTTCCTCCCCCTTGCCGGCGTCATGCTCTTCGCCGCCGTTTACCCCACCTGACCCGGCCGTGGCCTCCGCCGGTGTGTCGGAAGATTCGGGCTCGGCCTCCATGGCTGACGCCTCCGGGGGCTCCGGAGGCGGCTGCGCGGCCTGACCCAAAGCCTGAGCAGGAGGTGGCTCCTCGTCTTCGTCCTCAAGCAGCGCCTCCTCGTCCTCCTCCTCGTCGTCGTCGTCCTCCTCGTCGTCGTCGTCCCCGCCCGGGCCTCCGCCCGACGCGGCTACAGGCCGAGGCTCCGCCTTGCAGGCCCCGCCGGGCCCGGCCCCGCCAACGCCGGCTTCGTCCTCCAGCATCTCAGCATCCAGCGCCTCCTGAAGCCGCTGCGCCAGATCCATCTTGAGGCCGCGCGAATCCAGGCCCCGCCGCTGCAGCTCCGACCGCAGCTCGGTCACTTTCAGCCGCTTCACCTCCATCGCCGCCGCCGCCTCCTCCGCCTCCCGCCGCCTCCTCCCCTGCGAACTGTCGCCCGAGCCCGACCGCGCAGGCGCCGCCGCCGCCCGCCTCCGCCTCCCGCGCCAGCACTGTACTCGCGCTCGTAAGCGCACGCAGGCAGCGGCAGAAGCCGCGCTGTTCCAGCGGCGTGTGTGCGTCGCCTTCCTTCTGCCCTGCCCCTTTCGGCTCACTGAGCCCAAAACAAGGGAGTGAGAAGCAGCCTGACAGAAAGTCGGTTCTCGACCGCAGGCGAGTGCGCGCCGAGGACGACGGAGTTCCCTCACTTCTCCCTCCCTCTCAGAGATCCGGGCCAATCAGCGGAGGCGTCGCGACTGCGCAGCCGCACGGAACCTGCGCCGGCAAGGCTGGCTGCGGCTCAAGTGCCTCGTAGCACGGAAGCGTGTGTGCGCTCCTCTGTCGGTACTTCAGTTGTAGGCTCTGCGCAGTCGCACCAGAGCCCCGCCCGTCCTGTCAATACTCTTATTTCCTGCTCGCTCCCAGTTGCCGAGGCACCCTAGGTCTTACTTGTTGTTCTCTCTTCCTTATTCTTTCACTGCGTCTTCTGAAAGTAATAGACGAAGACAAGCCGGAGGGCTGGCTGCTGCAGAGCACTTGTTTTCGTAGCCCGTAGGCAAAAGGGTTTTTCAGCAAGGGCGAGCCATGCCCGGGCCTTTTTCTGTGCTCAAACTTCTACCCAGCAACAGAAGCTCCAGCCCCGCCCTTAGCCTCTCTCATTGGCCATCTTGAATCGTAGTCTGTTGCTCTGATTGGTCATCTGATATCGTGCGGCTTTTTTTCTTATTGGAGAAGTGGCCGGGAATTTTTTTTTTCCGGGTTGATCCGCTGGGAAGGCGGGGTCATTTCTGCGGGATTACTTTTCTGGACTCGTTTCTGATTGGGTAGTGTGACGCAATGCGCGCGCCCCTATTAGATGCTAAACTGCTGGGAAGCCGGCTCTTTTACTCTCGTTGCTCCGGCTCTTAAACTGAATACCTGGAGGAAACTTCCGGGCTTGGCCACTGTAGTCTTGCGGTTGTTGTGCTTGCCGGTGCCTATGGCATCTTCTGTCTCGCCTGCAGACTGGAGGCTCAGGCCTCATTTACTTCGATCCCTTAATTAACAGCAGAGACATCGACAAATGCTTGTTGAATAAGGACAAATAAAGAGCTTGGGAAGGAGTGAAGCCTTTTTGACTTGTTTCAGTTGTTCCCGCCTACTCCATCTTCTTCCAGGTCAGGGGGTGTGTCTCAGTGAAAAGGAAACGAATTTTGCGGGCGGTCAAACACTTGGGATGTTTAGCTGGCCTTTAAATCTTTTAGAGTCTATACTCACGCCAGGACTCTTCTTTTGGAAATCATTTGGTCTATGGCTTCACTACCTTCACATTATTCCTTTTGTTGCGGAACTTCTGGAAACTAAAAACAGGAGAGATAGAACTGTAATAAAAATATAAAAACTCAAATCCTCTTAAAGGAGAGTGATTTTTTTGCTTACAAAAATAGACTTCCCAGACCAATAATTTTGATCCCAACACCACGGCCTCTTTTGATCTTTCGTTTAGCAATTCTAACAGTCATGGAGAAGCGCCTGCAGGAGGCTCAGCTGTTCAAGGAGGAGGGGAACCAGCGCTACCGGGAAGGGAAGTACCGAGATGCTGTTAGTAGGTACCATCGAGCTCTTCTTCAGCTGCGGGGCCTGGATCCAAGTCTGCCATCCCCGATACCCAACCTAGGACCTGAGGGCCCAGCTCTCACGTCAGAGCAAGAAAACATACTGCACACCACCCAGACCGACTGCTACAACAACCTCGCGGGTAAGAGCAGGGGCAGGAGGGTGGGTGGAACGTCAAGACGTGACCGTCGAGCACAGCAGAGGTGGCGCACGCCTTTAGTCTCAGCACCCCGGAGGCAGAGGCAGGTGGATCTTGGGAGTTCGAGGCCACCCTAGTCTACAGAGTGAGATCCAGGACAGCCAGGGCTACACAGAAAAGCCCTGTTTCAATAAACAAGGTGAAACAAACAAAAAAGACAGCACCATCGAACCCTATGAACACCAGAAGAAAAATACGATCTTCACTGTCATCGGCAATGAATTGAAATCTGTTTCCAATCTGTTGAGAACTTTTAAGCAGGCAGAATTTTTCAAACCTCATTTGGAGTTTGTGAAAATACAACGTCCTAGGCCCTAACTCCAGAAACTTGCTCTAGTGGATCTAGGGCGGGACTGCCAGTGGATTTATCTGGAGGAATGTTGCTCACTTTAGAACATTTTGCCTTCTGTAGAAAAAAAGTGCCTTTGTCTAAAGGAAATTTAACATTTGTGAAACAAGTTACTGGCTCTAGATAGTGTAGATTACTTGTGTTTGATTGCATAATTTTTTTTGTAGAAATCAAGGACATTGGATAACTAGTATCTTGCATTTCCAGATGGCTTTGTATGAAGATAGGACAGTTCTGCTAGGATTAACCTAATTGATAAGAGGCCTTTTATTGTTTTCTATGATAGACAAATCAAACTTAGAACTAATTAACTTACAGTATAGTGAAAACTGAGGCTATATATATTATCAGGAGCTTTTACATTTCCTACTGGTTGCTTTTTTAAATTATTTTTGTTTTTCTTGAGATGCAGTATTTAACCCAACCTGGCTCCAAACTCCTGGCAGTTTTATGCCTCTGGCTCCCAAGTGCTGATATTATAGGTGCCAGCCACCACATCCATCTGGCTGTTTATTTTAAAAATATTTTTGTGATCTCTGTAAGTTTGAGGCCAGCTTGGTCTATATAGTAAGTACCAGAAGAGCCAGAGCTTCATAGGGAGACCCCATCTCAAATAAACAGACAAGCAAGCAAATATACATATAGATACACATATATTATAGAACACTCTTTAACTTTTTTTAAATATTTTTTTATTTATTAATTACATATACACCAGATTGAATTGTAGATGGTTGTCAGCCACCATGTGGTTGCTGGGAATTGAACTCAAGACCTCTGGAAGAGCAGTCAGTGCTCTTAACCTCTGAGCCATCTCTCCAGCCCGAACACTCTTTAACTTTATACCTATAAACTTAAATATGTATATACATACAGAGACACATATTGCATGTACACATACATACGGTGTTGGAGTGGAACTGTGGAACTCAGGGCCTTGCACACGATAACCAAAAGCTGTGCTACTAACCTGCAATATCAGCATTAAGAATTTTTGAAATTACAGTACTTATTAGTTATGATAAGTTATTGGTATTTTTTCCAGTGTGTCCAGCAATACTTTTGGACTCAAATAATAGTAGTTATGGTAGTGTTTTGCTTGTTTTTGTAACAGGTCTGAGTTGCCCTGGCTAGCTTAGATGACCGCATATATGCCTGCCTCTGCCTCCAGAGTGCATAGTCCATCACTCACAGTAGCTGCTTAAATTAACTCTGATCAACAGTTATTAAATGCTGAGGATTAGCAGTATAACACTACAGATAACAATCCCTATGTTCACAAAACTAAGAAAATAACACCGTATGCCAGGCAATAAGTACTCGGAAGGAGATTAAGTGAGATAGCCTGGTGCTTTATACCTGTAATCCCAGCACTGCAGACGTCCAGGTAGAAGAGTGGCTGCTAAAGCTGTGCCACTAACCTGCAATATCAGCACTAAACACTTTCAGTCTGAGGTCCAGGCTAGCCTGCGATGTCTGGTAAAACCCTGCTTCAAACAAGTAAGAATAACTGGAGAACGGGAGTAGATACAGTCCTGGGATGCTCATTTGAGAAAGGGTGGCTATATAGGATTCATAAATGTGACATGTATGATATGTAATGACAGATGCTGCTTAGGTCAATGCACATTGATCTATGGTGTCACAACACTTCTTCCAGTCTAAGGAAACTAGAACTAATCTAACAACAAGTGGATTTAAAATTATATCCAGGCAAACAGTCTTAATTCCCAGAACATAAATTCTTATTGCAAGATACTATGCTCTATTAAAAAAATAGAAAAAGTACTAAGGAATTGGCCAAAATCAAAGAAACAGGAGTTTCACAGATGGTTGCTTATAATAAATGTCTTGACTTCTCAGTTGTAGCAAGTGGAGGCTTCTTAGCATCTAGATGCTCTGGAAATGCTTCACAGGGGCCTCATAAAGACCCTTTGAGAAACTATGTGTGGTGACACATGCTATACTCTCAGCCATTCCTTAGCAGGGAGAATCACACGTTGAGGCCAGCATGGGGCTATATAATATAGTAAGACCTTATCTCAGAACAAAAAAATTTTTTACTGAATTAACAGTATTCATTTATTAAATACTCATGATATATTTGACAGTTTATTTACAGCTTTTCTCATCTTTACCATCTTTAATTTTGATAGATACTTCATAATAATCCTCATTTTTACAGATAAAGAAGTCAAATAATGTCACTACCCAAAAACTCTCAGGGTTGGCACATTTAAGAGAAAATCCACCCTGGCCTGGAGCACCTAACATATTCTGATCCTCCACATACACAACTCTCACAGCATAGTTCCTCCTTTAAAGACTTGGAAGCATGGAAGCAAAAAAGAAAGAAAGAAAAAGAAATTTTTAGTCGGGGGTTGGTGGTGCCCGCCTTTAATCCCAGCACTTGGGAGGCAGAGGCAGGTGGATCTCTGTGAGTTCGAGGCCAGCCTGGTCTACAGAGCGAGTTCCAAGGTCACAGGGGCTACACAGAGAACTATCTTATCTCAAAAAACAAGAATAATAAAATTTACTTTCTTAGAGAGCCCTTCCATAACTAAGAAACAGTTTCACCTTTTCATCCTCCAACAGTTTGGTTTTCTTCAAAGTATCTTTTTTTGTTTGTTTGTTTTACGAGACAGGGTTTCTCTGTATTGTTTTGGAGGCTGTCGGTCCAGCCCAGCCTGGAACTCACATCTTCAAAGTATCTTTAAAATTTCATTTGTTTGTACATTCCTCCCACTTAGGGAGGCCGAGGCATTATCTAATCATTGCTTGATCTCAGTTGTTGCCCCAGTGGAGATCAGTCAAGCCTTATATCCTAGAGTACTTTCCCTAAGCTGCTAAAACCCTACCTCATAGCTGGGGCCCAATAGGATCTAGTGCTTTGTGTCTGTATCATTTACTAAGCTGTTAAACTCAGATCCTTCTCTAACTTCAAAGATCTCTGCCTCCTAAAGTCTATAAAAGGAATTTCCACCTGGTGGTGGTGCACGCCTTTAGTCCCAGCACTCAGGAGGCAGAGGAGGGGGATCTCTGAGTTCAAGGCTAGCCTGGTCATACTGAGGGAGTTCCAGAACAGCCAGGACTGTTACACAGAGAAACCCTGTCTTAAAAAGCCGAGAGAGAGAGAGAGAGAGAGGGAGAGGGAGGGCGAGAAAGGGAATTTCCTCTTGTTTTATGGGTTGTTGCTGAGTCTCCTACCTCAGTCAAACCCCCACCCCATAATGACCAGCATTACTGAAAGGTATTTTTCTTGAAATCTGTTTCAGCACATCTCCCATCAAACTGGGAGGGGGGGATTATTTAGAATAAACAAGACTAGAGTGATGGCCCAATAGTTAGGAACACTGGCTACTGCAGCAGAGGATCAGAATTTAATTCCCAGCACCCTCATGGTGATTTACAACCATCTGTAACTCCAGCCCTAAGGGATACAACACCCCCTTCTCACCTCTCAGGCACCAGGCATACAGACGGTTCACATACATAAATAGAGGCAAAATACTCTATATATATATATATATATATATATATATATATATATTAAAATATTCATTAAGGTGCCTTCCTTGTTATTTTCACTCCTTAGTTTAATGTTTGAGCATAGCTAGGTAAATAGTTATCAGTTGAAATATTGAAGCTAAAACGCTGGAGTAATCGACCTGTGGAGAATACCTCATGTAAAGCCTGCTTTGGTGTGCTGGTGTTGCAGCAGGAATGCAAGCATAGTCCAAACTTGTTATTGGCTTCATTCTATCTGAATCTTGGCCATCTGAGCATGATTTAATTTTAATGTATTTAATTCCAGTATCCGTGAAATAGGATATAACTTTCCCTTTTTTTACTAAAAATATTTTTTGTTTCTTTATTTATGTAGGGGGGTAGGGTTTCAAGATAGGGTTTTCTGTGTCTCCCTGGCTATCCTGGAACTCGCTCTGTAGACCAAGCTGGCCTCGAACTCAGAGATCTGCCTGTGTCTGCCTCCTGAGAGCTGGGACTAAAGGTGTGCACCACCACACCAGGCTATTTATTTTGCTTTTAATTATGTGTCTCTGTGTGTGTTTCTATGGGTATGTGCATCAAGTTCCCTGGAGCTGTAGTTACAGGTGGCCATGAGCCATCCAGTGTTGGTACTTGAAAGCAAACTGGGTGCTCTTAAGTACTGAGCCATCTCTCCACCTCCTGGACTTTTATTTTTGGTGGTGCTGGGGACTGAACTCAAGTGTCTCAAGTGTGCCAGGCAATCAATCAGTTTACTGAGCTACAACTCTTCTTTAAGTCAAAACACTGTCTTGAACATTGCTTCCATTAGTCAGCCAAAAGAATAATGAATTAATATCATATCTTTGGAAATGAGGTTGCTATGGTGACACAAAGGTAATCCCAGTACTTGGGAACCTGGGGCAGGAGGAATAACTGTAGTTTGAGGCCATCTGGGCTACAGACTATTTTAGAACTGCCTGAGCTACAACGTGAGAACTTGACTGTCTTAGTGTTCAACTGCCGTGAAGAGACACCATGACCACCACAATGCTTTTTTTTTTTTAACTATTTATTTTTATTTTGTGTGCATTGATGTTTTGCGTACATATATGTCTGTGTGAGGGCAGTGGATCCTGGAGTTACAGACAGTTGTAAGCTGCCATGTGGGTGCTGGGAATTGAACCCCAGTTCTCTGGAAGAACAAAGAGGTGCTGTTAACCACTGAGCCATGTCTCCAGCCCCCACCACAACTCTTTTTTTTTTTTTTTTTTTGGTTTTTTGAGACAGGGTTTCTCTGTGGCTTTGGAGGCTGTCCTGGAACTCACTTTGTAGACCAGGCTGGCCTCGAACTCACAGAGATCCACCTGCCTCTGCCTCCCGAGTGCTGGAATTAAAGGCATGCGCCACCAACGCCCGGCTCCCACCACAACTCTTTTTTTTGTTTGTTTGTTTGTTTGTTTTTCGAGACAGGGTTTCTCTGTGGCTTTGGAGGCTGTCCTGGAACTCGCTCTGTAGACCTTGAGTTCCCTATGTAGTCAAGTGTTAGTTACTGTTCTATTGCATGAAAAGACATCCTAACCATGGTAATTCTTTTTTTTTTATTCTGTATGTTTGTTTGTTCAAGAACAGGGTTTCTCTGTGTAACAGCCCTGGCTGTCCTGGAACTTGCTTTGTAGACCAGGGTAGCCTCTGACTCACAGAGATCCACCTGTTTTCTACCTCCCGAGTACTGGGGTCAAAGGCGTGCGCCACCACCGCCCATCATGGCAAGGTAATTCTTAAAAAGGAAAGCATCTAATTGGAGGCTGGCTTACAATTTCAGAGGCTTAGTCCATTATCATCATGGCAGGAGCATGGTGGCCTGCAGGGCATTGAAGCACTAGCTGAGGGCTATATCCTGATCCCATGGAATGCAGGAAACGTGAGAAATGGGCCTGACATGGGTTTTTAAAGACTCAAAGTCCACATCCAGTGACACACCTCCTCCAACAAGGCCACACCTCCTAATCCTCAAATAGCACTACTGTCTGGTGACTAAACATTCACATATGTGGGCCTAAGAAAGCCATTCGTAATCAAACCACCACACTGAGGATGATCTTGGGTTCCTCCTCCTCCTGCCTCTAACTTGCAAATGATAGGATTATAGATATGTACTACCATGCAATGCTTGAGAGAGTTTTGAATAAAAAAATTAAAGTATGGAGACTGGAGAGATGGCTTACCAGTTAAAAGTGCTTGCTGCTCTTGTAGTGGACTTGGGTTTGGTTCAGGACCATATAGCAGCTCACAGTCAGCTGTAACTCTAGTTCCAGGGCATCTGACTCCTCTTATGACCACCTTGGGCTCCTGTATGCATATGATACACATATATACACACACTTAAAATGAAATAAATAAACTTTATGTATTTATTATGTGTGTTCAAGCATGACATTGTACACATGTTGAGAATGTCAGAGGAAAACTCGTGGGATCAGTTCTTTCCTTCCCAGGAATCAAACACAAATCTTCAAGCTTGGTGGCGTGAACCTTTGACCACTGAGCCAGCTTGTCAGTCACAACTTTTATATCTCTAGTCCCTAGATGAGGGCATGGGTATGGGAGACTTCAGCATTAGTGAATAAAGTGGGTATTGGGAATGCCTTGAACTGGTCGGTGGAATCTCCTATAAGCCCTCCTTCTCTCTCCCTTTAACTTGATCCATTAGCCTGTCTCCTCCAGATGGAGCCAGTGAACTACGAACGAGTAAGGGAATACAGTCAGAAAGTCCTAGAACGACAACCTGATAATGCCAAGGCCTTGTATCGGGCTGGAGTAGCCTTCTTCCACCTGCAGGACTATGACCAGGCTCGGCACTACCTGCTAGCTGCCGTCAATAGACAACCTAAAGGTGAGTGAGAGGGACTCTAAGGTGGTGAGCATATTTAAAATTGTTCCGTTAGTGTAAAGAAATAATCGGGGTTTAAGGAGATGACAGCACTAATCGCTGTGGTCTGACATTACACACTCTGTACATCAAGTATTGAATTTATACCTGTTAATATGTACAGCTATTACAAATCAACAGGAATACAAAGCTCTGGGTTCAATCCCCAGCATTGCATAAAAGCATATGTAGTGGTAAACATGTCTGTAATCCCAGCACGTAGCAAGTAGAAACAAGAGGATCAGAGTTCAAGGTTATCTTTAGTTACATAGTATCTGAAGATGATCTGGGCTACAGGGGACCCTGTCTCAGAACAAAACTGTATCATGCTGGGCAGTGGTGATGAACACCTTTAATCTCTGCACTCAGGTGTCAGAGACAGGTGGATCTCTGTGAGTTCAAGGCCAGCCTAATCTAAAGAGCAAGTTCCAGGACAGGCAAGATTACACAGAGAAACTCTGTCTTTTTTTTTTTTTTTTTTTTTTTTTTTTGGTTTTTCGAGACAGGGTTTCTCTGTGGCTTTGGGGGCTGTCCTGGAACTCGCTTGGTAGTCCAGGCTGGTCTCGAACTCGCAGAGATCCGTCTGCCTCTGCCTCCCGAGTGCTGGGATTAAAGCGTGCGCCACCAACGCCCAGCTGAGAAACTCTGTCTTGAAGAACAAATAAATTCAGTTTACTCCCCCACCCTCCTTTGGTTTTTCAAGACAGGGTTTCTCTGTAGCTTTGGATCCTGTTCTGGAACTAGCTCTTGTAGACCAGGCTGGCCTCAAATTCACAGAGATCCACCTCTCTCTGCCTCCCAAGTGCTGGGATTAAAGATGTGCGCCACCATCACCCAGCTTCAGTTTAGTTTTTTAAAGACCTTTTTGTTTTTAAGTATACCAGTGCTTTACTTGTATATGGCTTACCTCTTTGTTGATGGTGTGAACCTGGGACTGTGGGCCTAAAAGTGATGTGGACTAAAGTCTCATACAATAGGTAACTTTATTCAGAGCGTCAGACAATTTATACTCTGAGGGTTAAGAAGAATCACATGAATAAAAATGTTCAATCACAAGGAGAAGCAAAAACATCTTTTTCCATGAGACATATAAAGATAGCCAGCTGCAATGAATAATTGGAAGCAAACTTATACCTGGGAGAGGCAAGAAAGCACATTCCAAGAACAATTCCATGTTTAGAAGAATTGAGATCACAAGACTCTTTTCTTGTTTTCTTGGAGTTTCCTCACAAGCACTCAGAATTCCCTTCACATGATTCTGCTCTTGGACCGTGTGCTATGGTATACTTGTACACCACACATCTGTGTGGTGCCTTTGGACCTGAAGAGGCCTTCATTAGAGGCTCTGAAACTAGAATTGCAGTCTGTAGCAAGACCCCATACGGGTGCCAGAACTGAATCCATGTCCTCTGCAGGAGCAGCAAGTGTTCTTAACAGCTGAGCCGCCTCTTCAGCCCATTTTTAACTTTAAAAAAAATAGATACTATGAGCCTGGCATTGTTTTTGTTTTCTACTTGTTTTGTGTGTGGTAGGGTTGGAATATTTGCACGCCACAGCTGTATAGAGTCCAGAGGACAGCCTATGGAAGCTGCTTGTCTCCTTCCACCATGTGGGTTCTGGAAGAGTCTCCCTCTGCTTGTCAGTCTGACTGGACAGCAAGTACCTTTACCTACTGGAACATTTTGCTGGTCTATAGTTTTGTTCTTTTGAGACAGGGTTCTCCTTTGTAATCCAGGGTGGCCTGCATCTGCATCCCCAGTGCCAGCCTCCCTGAAGAATGAAGAATGGTAGGATAAGAGTTTACCACCTCATCCTTTGTTCTTATTTCCACAGGAAAGCAACTATTAGTTCTGTTTGTATCCTTAGAAGTATTTATGCTTAAACAGGGTTAAGTATTTATATTCCCTGTACCAGCTCTGTGAGTCAATGATATATCTGTGCCTGTTTCTGTTTATATTGCTGTGCTGTAAATCAACCTCAGGGCCTGTGCCTACCCTGAAGATGTTCTAACCCTGTGACATCCCAGCCAGTTTATTCGGTGTATGTAAAAGGTCACCCTCCCCATTTTATTGTTTTACTGCTGGGAACCATACTCAACATTGTATCTACTAGGTGTTGTACCCATGTAGTTGGAATTTTCATTGGGCCACCAACCAGCTCCCAAATAAGTACATGGAGACTTATTATTAATTATGAATGCTCAGCCTTAGCTTAGGCTTGTCCCACTAGCTCTTTTAACTTAACCTGTTTCTGTTCATTGACATTTTACCTTGGATCTTTTGTCCTATTTTCCTGCTTCCTTGTGTATGGCAGGCTGGCTCCTGCCATCTCTTTCTTCTTCCTAGTCTAAATTCATCCTCTTATTTACTCTCCCTGTCCAGAAGTCCTGCATATACCTCCTCCCTCGCTAGTGGTAGTTCAGCTTTTTATTAGACCAGTCAAATGCTTTAGCGGGCAAGGTAAAACATCTTAATCATAAACAAATTCTGCAACATAAACAAATGCAACACATCTTTACAATGTTAAACAAAATGCAACACATCTTTGCATAGATAAACATTCTGCAACATACCCATATCTTTATCAGCTTAAATTATTTATTTTGGGTTTTTATGGGCAGAGTTTTACTATATAGCCCTGACCAGCTTGGAGTTCTATCTATTGCCCAAGCTGCCATTGAACTATTCACCTGCCATGGCATGGCCTTCTTAGTACTCAGATAGGTGTGTATCACCATAATGGGGATTTTAGGAACTTTTTTCTTTTCTTCTCTCTCTCTCCCTCCCTCCCTCTCTCTCTCTCTCTCTCTCTCTAGAATTTTGGAGGCAGTGTCTCACGTAGCTTAGGCTCGTCTCAAACTCAGTTTGTAGCACTGGCTGGTTTTGAACTTCTAATCCCCTCCCCTCTATTTCCCAAGTGTTGATGTTACTGGTGCATGCCACAGGACCCACCTTTTAAAGAGTATGTTAGTGGATCCCAGTGAATGAACTTGATCATGGTTGTTCAGCCTTCTCTCCAGATAGGAGCTGGCCTTTGCTTTAGCTATTATTTTACCTTCTAGCTTAGCTAACTCCAGGTGTGACCTAGAAAAAGCAGCCACTGACTGGGAGAATTTGGGATTTGGCACTGGGTTTTCAGGACAGAGAGGAAACTGTAGCAGATGGCAGGCTCATTTCTGTGTTGGTTGTTTAGCATTGAACATGTGTCTCTCTTTTGTTCTTTTGTTTGTTTATTGTTTTTATTTTTCAAAACAGGGTTTCTATGTGTAAACCTGGCTGTCCTGAAACTTGTTCTGTAGACCAGTCGGGCCTTGAACTCACTATCTCTGCCTCCTAAGTACTCAGATTAAAGGCATGAACCACCCCTGCCTGGATTTTTTTACTTTTTTTTTTTCTTCTTCATTTTTGACAGGGTCTCTCTACATAGTTCTGGCCGTCCTGGAACTCACTAACACTTGGGAGGCAGAGGCAGGTGAATCTCTGAGTTTGAGGCCAGCCTGGTCTACAAAGTGAGTGCCAGGACAGCCGTGGCTGTTACACAGAGAAAATGTCTTGAAAAAAACAAAACAGTCAATTTTAAAAAGGCTGGGGGTGTAGCTCAGGTGGTGGCAAAGCATGGTGGCGCATGCCTATAATCCTAACACTTGGGAGGTGGAGGCAGGAGGACCATGAATTTGAGGCCAGGTGCAAACAAACCTAGCTCTAACTTATAGAGATTTTGTTTGTTTATTTCATAGTTATAAGCTGGGTGTTCAGGCACAAATTAAATCCAAAACCTGCCTGAGATGCAAGACTCTCCAAAAAAAAAAAAAAAAAAAAAAAAAAGGTCCCAGTGCTTAGGTGGCAGAGGCAGACAGATCTCTGAGTTCGAGGCCAGCCTGGTCTACAGAATGAATTTCAGGACAGCCAAGACAGTTACACAGAGAAACCCTATCTTGAACCCTACCCATCCCCCCCAAATAATTCACAGTGATACATTAAGTAATTGAACTCATTATTGCATGGAATAATTGTGATACATTCAGATTTTGAAGCGAACAAAAGTAACTGGGAATGTTAACAGTGCTGTCTGGTCCATTGGGACATTGTGGTCTGTCTGTAATTACCTTCTTCATTGTCTTTGAAGATGCCAATGTCCGGCGGTATCTCCAGTTGACACAATCAGAACTCAGCAACTATCATAGAAAAGAGAAGCAGCTGTATCTGGGCATGTTTGGTTAAAGAAGAAAAAAGATGCTTTTTCACTTGACCTCAAGTGGACTGCTAAAGACCCATCAAGAGAAACCTGAGCCTCAGCAAGAGAAATTCACCCTTTACCTCTGATCAGGTGGATTTCTATTTTTCCTGTTCTGCACAAACTCTTTGCTACTTAGACCACCTGCATCCTTTGTTGTTTATCCCCCAGTATATTTGTATGGCTTGCAATTCATATTATTTGCCTTGAGAAATAGACTAGGAAGCATTCATCCACTGTGAGTGGATCAACTATATTTGTGGTATAGATTTAATGAGAAACATTAATGTGTGTTCAAATACAGAGGGACAGTAAAGGATAAAATAATAATGACAGGCAGAAAGGAATCCTTTGCTGTTTCCTCAGATGCCTTTGTTTTTCCCAGTGGGAAATATATATTGTGAAACTAGATAATATAAATTGAGCCCAAGTATATTTACATTAAAGATTTGACATTAATCATTTTGGGGCTGAAGATGTAGCTCAGTGGTAGATTGCTTGCCTAACATGGACAAGGCCTTGGTTTTGATTCCCCAGTGCTGCCAAAATAACAAACTAAACAGTAAGATCAAATTGTTTTGTTATTTCTTTTTGTTGGGTTTTTTTTTTTTTTTTTTTTTTGAGACAGGGTTTCTCTGTATTGTTTTGGAGGCTGTCCTGGAACTCGCTCTGTAAACCAGGCTGGCCTCGAACTCACAGAGATCCGCCTGCCTCTGCCTCCCGAGTGCTGGGGTCAAAGGCGTGCGTCACCAACGCCCGGCCTGTTGTTGTTTTTTAAGACAGGGTTTCCCTCTGTAGCCTTGGCTGTCATGGAACTGTAGACCAGGCTGGCCTCATACAGAGATTTGCCTGCCTCTGCTTCCTGAGTTCTGGGAGTAAAAAGGCACGTTCCACCTCTGCCAAGCTCTTTTCTGCATTTTGATATTGCTTATACTCAGATCATTAACATAGTATAACTTATTTGTGTTTAATATGTTCTATTATAAAACTTATGAAGTAAATGCTTGGAATATATGAAGCCCTGTTTGTTTGTTTTTTTTTTTTTTTGGTTTTTCGAGACAGGGTTTCTCTGTGGCTTTGGAGGCTGTCCTGGAACTCGCTCTGTAGACCAGGCTGGCCTCGAACTCACAGAGATCCGCCTGCCTCTGCCTCCCGAGTGCTGGGATTAAAGGCGTGCGCCACCAACGCCCGGCTTGTTTTTTTTTTTTTAAGTAAAAAAATTTCTTCTGGAGTTAAGCACTTAGGTAGTTAAAAGTATTTAATAACTCTCTGTCCTCATGCCAAAAAGGAACCCAAGTGCTAATGAGCTTTTTCTGGGTGTGTATGTATGTGTGTTGCAGGAATTTGAACCTATCTTGTACATGCTAGGCAAGTACCCTACATGCCAGTCCCAAAGTGGCTTTTGTATTTTGGACAAAGTTTTTCTCTGTGTAGCCCTGGCTGTCCATGTTTTAGTTTTTAATAGATGCATTTTTGAAGTGTGTTCATTTTTCTGAAAGACAGTAGTACCGTGTCTTCTTGAAAGAATATAATAAAGCATGATCGACCCTAAGTCTCCTCTTCATCTGTCACTCTACTTTGTCAGAGCTCAGAACCTCACAAAGGAAGGAAGCTCAGTCTTGGAATCACCTGATAATAGGACCCTGGGGAAGCTATGTTGCTTGAGGGTGCAGAATGCAGAGCTAGTGCAGTCCTGCTTCTGTGGGTTCATCAGCAAATGGCTGCTCTGTTACTCTGCTTACTCTGCGGGTTGTGTCTATGTCAAGGGTGCTAATTAGTGGCTAAGACCATGTAGTAGGTCTGTACCATAATAAGTGGAGATAGTAAGCCTGTCATTCATTAGCCATCATATAATCATAAAACAAGTATGTTTCTTGGGGTGGGATCAGTCTCTTTATTAATAATATCCCAAAAGCTCCCAGTGCACTATAGTTTTAAATAATACATCCATCAAGGTACAACAGGTTTGTTACAAATAATCTAACAAGTCCAAGGACAGAAGTAAAATATTTTCTTTATTGTACAAGCTTCTTAAATTGCTAAACCTAGCATATATCTGTAATCTCAACACTCAAACTGAGGCAGGATTGCAATGAGGCCAGTCTGGGCTATATACTGAATTTCAGACTAGATGGGGTTACCGAACAAGATCATGTATTAAAAACTCAAAAATAGATTGAAAAAAATTCCTCTACTGGTTTGGCAAAATTTTGTCATGGTAGATGTTATCACAATTGATTATTTGGAGGCCCCTTATCTTTCAAGTTTCTTCTTAGTAAATTTCCACGTACAAATGTCAAAACTGCTCCTCAGTTAGGCTCACTCTGTGTCCCACTGAAAAACCTGGTTGCTGTGGTTCCTATTGCCATGACTCTGCCCTTGAGAGGTATGTATAGTGATGCCTTTGAAGGTTAATTTAAAATCTTTGTCATCTTGCATGTTTTACTTTTGTTTTGTTTTTCGAGACAGGGTTTCTCTGTAGCTTCGGAGGCTGTCCTGGAACTCACTCTGTAGACCAGGCTGTCCTGGAACTCACAGAGATCCTCCTGCCTCTGCCTCCAGAGTGCTGGGATTAAAGGGGTGCACCACTAACGCCTGGCATGAGCTGTATTCTTTACACAGTGGTTCTGCCCAGTCTAGCCTAATCTATTGAGTTCAAGTGGGCCTTCTGCCTAAGCCTTCCAAGTAGCTAGAACTACTGGCAAGTGCCACTCTCCTTTAAAAAATGGAGGTGAATTTACTTATTTATGGGTTCCATTTCTTTCTCCTTCTGTGCTAGGAATGATCCAGGTGTCGCACTAGGCACATACTCTTGTTCTGAATTAAACCCTGGCTCACTGAAGGCTGTGACCTGACCAGCCCAGTAGTGACTGTTACTCAGACCGTTTAGAGAATCTGTATCAGCTCAGTAAGGACATTGCTCCTCACTTTGAGGGACTGATATGCTAAGGCAACATTTTTTTTTTCCAAACCACCTCCCAATACTTTTTTAAATTGAGAAATCAAAACCTATAAAATCACTCTTTTGAAGGGAACTGGTTCTTACAGGCATTTTGATATTTGCTACTGGAAAGACTGGAAAAGGTGCCACACTCACCTACAATAGCTTTTACTATTTTTATTATTTCTTGCTCTTTCTTGGAGGAATTAAGGCAATAGTACGTTTTCACAAATAAAATTGGAAGATAAGCAGTTACTCAATATAAACAATGTGAGCTGGACCTTGTTGTACATCCAGTACTGATAAGGCTTAGGCAGAAGATCTAGAGTTTTAGGCTAGTCTGTTGTACAAAGCAAGACCCTGTCTCAAACAACCGAGGAGGCAGCCATAATTGTATATGCCTATAACATCAGAACTTGGGGCTGGAGGCAAGTGGATCAGGAAGGAGGGCAAAGTCATCCTCAGCTACTTAGCAAGTTCATGGCCAGACTGGGCTACAAGAGACCCTGTCTCCAAAAGAGAAGGCAGGAAGAGAGGAAGGGAGGAAAAGGAGTGTAGGGAAGACAGGATCTTCCTTTTTCACTTAGATTAGCTTTCTTCAGCTGCCAAGTAGCTAGGACTATAGGTAGCTGCCATTGTGCTTGTACTCGGCTTTAGAATTTTCTCAGCAGCAAAACAAAATAAAAAATAAACTCTTGCTTCCCATAATGCCTCATCAAGAGAGCTTTCTTTGGCCAAATCTTCATTGTTAGCTCAGTCTTCTATCTCAAAAAACGTCAATCACTCAGTACGGAGAGCTTACAGTCTTGGGTGTGACACAGAGACCCCAAAAGAGGGCAAAGAAGTCAAGAAAGCCCGCTTTTATTTTGACCCTTTTCAGTTTTCCTTCCTGCCTGATTTGCATTTAGGTCCTTGCATGCCAAGAGAGGGCTTGTTCATAGAGCACCACAGCCTGGAAAGTTACTTCATTTACATTGAGCTCTTTCCCTACATCCCGTCTCAATACTTGAAACTCATTTTTTACAATCTCTATTACCAGTAACTACCTATATAACTTTAGTGAGTACTTTAAGCTCTTTAGGCTGCTGTTATCACAATTTTGAGTGCAAGGGACCAAACCTAGGATCTCAGGCTACATAAGCTATCAGTCCCCAGCAACACAATTTGGAAGTAAAGGTCTAAGATTAGACCTCATGGGGTTTCCTGCTTTAGCTTTCCCAAGCAGCTGTCATGTCAATACCTCCTCAGGTTCTCAGCTCCCCTAAAAGTCCCTCTCCACAGGGCATACTGTTTTCTCTCACCAGTTTCTCATCTTCAGACACTTCAATTCAAACTCATAAAATGGCAAAAAGGTCAAGTTATCAATGCAGTATCTGTTGTCAAAATACCCAAAGATCTTTCTAGGTCCAACGATGAAGAGGAGACAAGATAAGGGAACAAAGCCACACACTCAAAAGAATAAGAAAAGCCGGGCGTTGGTGGCGAACGCCTTTAATCCCAGCACTCGGGAGGCAGAGGCAGGCAGATCTCTGTGAGTTCAAGGCCAGCCTGGTCTACAAAGTGAGTTCCAGGACAGCCTCCAAAGTTACAGAGAAACCCTGCCTCAAAAAAACAAACAAAAAAAAGAATAAGAAAACCTTTGTGACTGGAGAGGTGGCTCAGCAGTTATGATCACCTGCTGCTCTTCAAGAGGACCCAGGTTCAATCCCCCGTACCCACATGGTGGTTCACAACCATCCACAACTCCAGTTCCCGAGCGTCCGATGTCCTCTTGTAGCCTTAACAGATAACAGGCGTGCATGTGGTACACAGACATACATGTAGCCAAAAACCCACACACATAAAAGAATACATTTTTTGTTTTGTTTTTACAAACAGGGTTTCTCCCGCCGGGCGTTGGTGGCGCATGCCTTTAATCCCAGCACTCGGGAGGCAGAGGTTTCTGTGAGTTCGAGGCCAGGCTGGACCGACAGCCTCCAAAATAGGAAACCCTGTCTTGTAAAACCAAAAAAAAAAAAAAAAAAGAAACAGGGTTTCTCTGTGTAGCACTGGCTCTCCTGGAACTCAG